AGAATTGTGAACGGAGTGTAGTTAATCTAAAAACGTCATCGAAACAGCTTTAAAATGATATACAACTTTAATTAGAATATTATTTTAGAATCCGGGGAATCAAAGTTACATTCACGCGATACCCCTAAAAAACAAATGCGCCACCTTTTTGCGACACGTCATTTTATATTAAACAGTTCTTATAGTATTTACATTTTACAACGTTTCCAAGAGTTGTACTTTTGCTTTTGTTGCAATACTAGACCAGTTGGTATAAGGGTTTGCAAAGCATGGTGCTTTCCAGATTTTATATTTTTCATCACAATAGTTTAGAAGATCGTAGGATTTTTGTATACGTTCGTTCGTGTATTCTTGTGATAATCACGGATTTTTTGTCTATTGTGACCAACAAATGTCGCATATTACGACAGTCTGTTAAAGAAGTAAGTTTTATTAACTTTCTAAGTTACGTTTTTTGCCAAGAGGCAATGATATGGTTACAGTGCAAGTCTGTAGACAGTTATTTAGATTATTGTTAATATTGTTAATATGTATTAATGACAGTTTGTGATTTACTGTTTTAGATAGTGAGGTATATTACTCACAGATTTTGCATAGTGCTAGAAGGCACTATATACGTGTATGGTCCTTATACAAGTTTTTTATAGTGCAAGTTGACAGATACAGTCACAATTTAGAATTTGGTTTATTCCGAAATTTGTGAATTTATTTGATATCTTTGACGTGTTAACAAACGTGTAGCCACAATGGCTTTAATGACAGTTGATCATTGGATATGGGTTGTTGGATTTAGATGTTTTAATTAGGTATACGGTGCCTTATTGATGTCTTGAAGGCAGTTAACATCGTAAATCAGCAGCGAGGTTGAGAGCCGAGGACGGATGTTGGGTATATTTGAACCTAAGAGGTTTTTGGCATTAATGCCATCGGCATCGTTGCCGCTATGACATTGGCATCGTGACCGTCATAGGTACCTGGATGCATCGCGAACTGGCTACATTTTTTCATTTTTCACTCATTCTTTGTACCAGATGTACTTAACGCTTTTCCAATAAACGCGGGCTGCTGGCTCCAATTTAATCCTATAATATATGTGATATTATGTTGTGTGGTTTGTGGTGAAGACTGTTTAATTAGGAAATAAGTAACATTCATGCATACGATACGCAATTAGCTCGACTCTCCTAAAGAAAAGAAATAATAGCGTTGGTGTTAACGTGTCACTTCGAATTCTATTTCTAACAAAATACCGTTACTATACTGATTTAATTTGCTCATGACTGTCACGCTTTAAAAACAATACATGCTGATTATTCATGTCCACTAATAATCTCTAGTCAATAAGGGAGTTGCTACATAACTGTTTAAAGGGGCAACAAGGACTGTAGAGAGAAAATTCGAATTTTTTTCTTTTTTCTGAGCAATCAGGTCAATATTTGGCTTAACACCTTTTTTGACATACCTGTACATGTACCTATTTTCTTAAAATGTATGTATAAACTATCAATTTCAGCATTAAAGTGTCTGTTCGATGCTCATGGGGTCAAAATACAGTTTATACACGTTCTAAATGAAGTAAATACCACCAACATGTCAAACCAGGTACCGTTCTTGTAAATATCTTTATAAATGTGAAATTTGATGTTCAAAATCGGGAACACAATGTCAAATGCCAATCATGACATCACGAACAGAACGGGGATTGAATATGTTGTTGGAGTTCATCATCTCAGAACGTACTTATAAAGTGTTAGTGTAATTGGTTGCAACTGCATTCAATGCATTGCGGAAATGATTAAACTTTGACTACTTTGGAGCCACAATTTTTCCTCCGATGAGCGAAAAATATAATACCTCAATTAGAGCTCCCGACCCTGTGGTGCGTTTTCACAAAGCTAGTCATGCAGACTTACGTTCTGGCCAGTCAGAATACAGTATAGAAACTATACACGTTGAGTTGATTCTGTTACATAACTTAATGCTGTTTAAAATCTTACAACCAAAAGGCATTGAACCATGAGGTTATTTCGGTAAGCGTTGCTCCTTTTTGGCCAATCAGAACACAATATAACATAAACAATTTTAACTTGGCACTCTAGTTACATAGTGCCGTGGTCACATTTGCTCAGATTTTCAGTACCGGCGCCCGGCCGATGAGTATTTTGTTCAAAATTGTATTCAGATTCAAAAATCCATAACCGGTTCTGTTCGTGACGTCATGTTTTTTCCCGGGAAATCTTATTTTGCCACTAATGAACAAACGGAATGAGTTGAGAGTCTGTTGGAATACTATTTTTACTTACCAATATCTGTTTAATCTATTTTAGTGAGAAAAAATAAACAGAAATAACCGAATTAGCACTTTAAGAGTAAGTTCAGTTCAAAGCTTCTATAAAGGGAGTCCCACTTATAGATCTTTAAGATCCACCACGCTTCAAGAGGAATATCAGCTAAAATAATGTTCATCCAGGGGGTTTCCTTGTAGATAATGAAATTAGATGTTAGTCTTGATGAAATATCCAAAAACCGAAATATATTTTGGCACTGGTCGATGATCGTTGACGTGCACCTTTAAGGCTGAATATATGTCGCCATTTGTTTTTATTTGTTTTAGTTGGGCCTGATTGCCATAGCCTTTAATGCTAAAAACATACAATAGCCACTTGATTTCATGATTTATCAAAAAGTGTAGGTTGAATCCGTCTAAAACTCAAATGGCATACCATGGGATGACCCTATTCACATACATTGTAATGAATCATGAAAATTTTGGTTGTTGGACGAATAAACAAGAATTTTAACATTGCATCAATGGATATTTGGTCCATAAACGATTATAAATCATAAATCAGTCCATAAATCAGAGTTATTGTTGTGGAAAACCTTTCACTGAATTCAAATATATATGTCATGAAAAAGGAAGGAAAAGTAGGTCATTGGAGGTTTAATGTACACATCTCTTATTGTACGATGATGTGCTTTTTATGTGCTTTTTTGTAAACGAGTAAAGTAAGGAAATAACAGAAATGACAGAATATCATTCTAGAAATAGTTGACATTTATTTACTAAACAATTCTCTTCTGACATTCTGATCTATCATTTAACATTGACCTAAGGCTGTAAGTATAAAAGCTATATTTTATATTGAATAATATGGAAGACGTTTCATTCATTTACGTTATGTCTTGGCCCACGCACTTCCACTGGGGTAATTATACATTTTTAATCTAATTTAACCGAAATGTAATTCAATTGGGCCATTCTCATTAAGCGCAGTAACATGTTACTCCCAATGTGGGATAAAACACTGACACACAACAGTTTGACAAGACACACAATGACATTAAATAGCAAAAAACTATTCCGTGGAATAGTAATAATACTTAATGTGAATATTCTATTTGTACAAGGTGAGACATAAAATGGATCTCTGAAATGTGCGAAAACTGCAATTACCTCTCCATTGAATGCGTGACAACACGCATTAAGTTATCATAATGTATATATTGTAAGTCACTTGAAATTACTCGAAGTCTAGTTCTTTTGTTCCAACATGTACAGCAAAAAACTATTCCGTAGAATAGTAATAATACTTAATGTGAATAATCTATTTGTACAAGGTGAGGCAGAAAATCATTAAACATACAAATATACTTACAAATACTCGTACAATATCGCTTTCTAGACGTTTCAGCCCTTGGACGTTTCACCCCTAAACTGTTCACCCCTTAGACGTTTCATCCCCTGGAGGTTTCACCCCTTAGTCATTTCACCCCCTGGACATTTCATCCCTTGGACATTTCACCCCTTAGACATTTTACCCCCTGGACATTTCGCCCCCTTGACGTTTCACCCCCTGGACATTTCACTCCTTGACATTTCACCCCTAGACATTTCATCCCTTAGACATTTCACCCCCTAGACATTTCACGCCTTAGACGTTTCATCCCCTACACATTTTAGCCTCAATATTTTACTCCTACATTTTTCATTCAAGTATTTCTCTTTGTTAGAACTGAATACCCTAAGTATAAATGGCATATATTATGGTACATATTTCCTATTGACACATTTTGCTCAGTTAGATGATTTTATGTAATAGGGTGTAGCGTGGGTTTGATTAATTAAAAACAAAATTTAATTACCATAAATGTTTCAAATAGTATATTCTAATAACAAGTACTGTAAGTCACTAGCAATTCACTTATTTTTCCATATTCAGTTTTCAGGGTTTTGAAGCGAGGTCCAGTCAATTAATTATCTATTTCAGTTCTTCAAGAAATTGGTTATTAAAAACAACTCTGCTATTAATACAAATATATTTTTAGATCATTCTAGTACTGTTATTTATCATAGGCCTTACAAGCAAAAAAACATATGCATCACTTTCATAAAATTAAGTTTCAAAAGCATGAGGTACAAAGAATTTTAAATACTGGTAGTAAGATTTCATATATATATTAGTTAGTTAAATTACAGCTTATTGATTAAATGATCATCTGGAAATCTGCAACCGAAAATCTTATACGATTCTAATTGAACTTATTTGAACTTATTTGTACCGATATTGTTGTGGTTTTATATACTATCACATTTTTCAGTCAATGATACTTTATGAAATCGGTATATACTCCTGTAAATTCAGTCATAATTCACTAATAACCCAACCCATGACATTGCACATGTACACAAACTGTATATGGGGGTGAAACGTCTAAGGGGCGAAATGTCTAAGGGGTGAAATGTCTAGGGGATGAAATGTCTAGGGGTGAAATGTCTAAGGGGTGAAACGTCTAGGGGTGAAATGTCTAAGGGATGAAAAGTCTAGGGGTGAAATGTCTAAGGGATGAAAAATCTAGGGGTGAAATGTCTAGGGGGTGAAATGTCCGGGGGATGAAACGTCCAGGGGGTGAATGTCTAGGGGTGAACCGTCTAGGGGGTAAAATGTCCAGGGGGTGAAACGTCTAAGGGGTGAACAGTCTAGGGGTGAAATGTCCAGGGGGTGAAACGTCTTGATACCTTTACCTACAATATGTATCTAAAATATTGAAAATCAAATATGGCTGTACATTTGCATTTGCTCTGGACTTTATATCATACTATACTATATCTAGAAATTAAACATTGACAATTCATTAATGTTCGATTACATGAACATGGCAGCATACATAGCTAATAATATATACAAAATAAATGCTTTTTAGAGGTTAATCAAATTCGATTTGTCGTTCCTTTCATATGCATTGACATTCTCCAATGCAGAACTTTGACTGTGTCTTGGAGTAACGTATGTCATATGCGTGGAAAAGGCATGCTATATGGACTGCAGGCGTTTCTTCTCTAGCCATTCACGAGTGTTTTCTGTCCGTGCTCAATTGTACAGTTATACAATGAGACAGAGTGTCCGGAATAGTCAAAGTTACATAACACAGCATTGTTGTCATAATCCAGTTCAGCGACCAGGTATTGTGGGTTGACGTTTAGCTGAAAGTAAAGCACACTGGGGTGATGCTTAGCAGTAAGAGTCTCAGGTAAGACTTGAGATTATCACATGCAGGCATGTAGCCAGCTTTTGCTAAAGGGAGGGGGAGAAACGGGAGGGGGGCAGATTTAAGAATATTCAAGGAGGATTCAAATTTGATAATTTTGGCCCAAATTTAAAATGGTAAAAAACTGCATGCTTTTGAAAGAATTCTTGCCAGTGGAGGGGCCTGACATGGTGCACAGCCCTTATTGCATCTGGCAATATTTACAAATCTATGGTTTTGTTTTATGTATTTTGTCTTCTGTGAATTATGAGAGTATTTCCATGTAAGCAAACACCACAAGTATTTCATTTAAGATCATTTGAGGTCATAACAAAGGTCATCTTAAAAATCGACCTCTTCGAAACCCATTTTATAGTAATTTGAATTTTTGTACTGAATGTAATATCATTATATCCTTATTTTAACACTTTTCTCTTTCTGATGCTATACTTCAATTCTCTCACAAAAATTCTTCATTTGACCCTCGTTTGCGCAACAATAGTGATTAGCCAACTTAGTACTGATACGTTGTAAAAGAGTTATACTGATAGCGAGAGTCAAAAGTTCCTAAAAGAGGGTTTCCTTTAATGATCTGAAACATATAATAATTTGAATACCTTGAATAAGTAGTTGCCTTCGGGGGTACTAGTCATATCTATCCACTGGCAGTCTATATCATGGTTATAACGATCTGCACAGCCCACAGAAATACCTAAATTAATGTTATAGAAATGTCTAAACAAATGTTTTACATCATTATTCATCTATAGTGACCCCAATTTTAGGTTCACCTTGCATAATCGACATTCCGTTTTATAAATGTGGAATTTCGATTTTTGGGAGCGACGTCGACTCGCCTTACTTAAGTTACTTTTCAGTTGGAATAAATAACATGGGTTAAATTAACTGAGGATGTTCACCTTGGTCTCCAAAGTTTGTACACGAATATTTCTTCTCATATCCTGGGTAACACTCTACATCCTCGAGACAGAAACTTGCTTTATGGCCTTGTGCTACACGATTTCCATGGTAATCCATGATGTCGTAATGTGCAAAAACGTCCATGCTGTGATAGTGCCTACAAAATATATTATTAAATCCATAAAGAAAACAAATATATGTATGTAATACAATCAGTATTTAGCATAGAATGTAATGTAAAGTCACTCTTTTTCTGTTTTTTAAACGCTAGATTATTATTTGGGATGGTGGGGGATGGAGGAAATGGGTGGGGGGGAGGTTAAGGTCTATTCTACATGTCAAACACAAACAACATTGACGGTATTAGTAGGTACTCCTTGTTATGTCCTAGATATTCCCTTTGTGAGGTTTCAAGTCACAATCAGAATCTGATTGTTATGAAAGGTAAATGGTTCATGGTCTATGGGCGGGCATTGGGAGGTTAACATGAAGTGCAAGACATTGAAATAGAATGATAGTGTAAATTGTTTCCAATTACGCTCTCCAACGAACATGATTAATAAGTAGTTGTAATATCTTATAATCTCATCTTCCATTTGTGTTATCTTTCATTTTTAACACTTGGTCTATCCCCTTTGTGGTACACGTGGTTACATATTTGATCGAGTGGGAGTTGATTTAACTTCATACACGGGAAATAATAATGTTCCTTAATTTGATTTAGGGTCCACTAGTGTCAAATCAACTCTCATTGGACTGGCATACACAACCGACAGGAAGGTTAATCTGGCTTACAATGCTCCTGGTTGAATTCATAAATGATATCTAATTGGAAAATATCACACATTGATAGACGCAAATCAACCCGAATTGGGTTAATGTGGCAATAAATGCAAACGTGTTCCGAAATATTTCGAAAAGTCAAGTCAGGCTTAAGGTGGACTACCTTTGAACCTTCCCCAAAATTTTACTTAAATCCTGTTGATAATTAAACGAATAATTTATAAAGGTTTTAAAGACGTACAAATAAATGTACACTATCTTTGCCACGACCATTTTCATATAATAATTTACATTTCAATTAAAGTAATCAATTAATAACTATAATTAATAAAATGTTAACAGCATTTTTTGATCACACCCGCCTTGTTTCCCGTTGCTTTTCGCCATATTTTTGAATAGACTAGATGCGAGAAGAAAAAATCTTGATTAACGCCATTAAATATTCAAAATTCAGTCAAAGCGATGTTATATTTGAAATCTACATGTAAAAGTACATCTAGAAATATGGTTTCGAAAATTGTTGATCAAGTTTGAAAATTTAATTATTTTTGAAAGTGTGACTTCTAGTTCGGGTTGATTCTCCATAGAGCCCATGTTACAAAATCACAAAAAGTGAAACATCTTTTCTTGTATTGGTCAGATAACATTTTCATTTCCTGGACATATTTTGATTTGCATAACTATTGTATTGTATTTTGTTTACCACCAATGAAGGTGAGCAATACCTCTTGGGTACGTCCCGTATATATACGGTCGTAATTTACGTAATTAACATGGAAGATAGACCCAGAAACCCCTCCTTGGAGGAGCCCTGTGTTCTTTTATGTGCACTTATACATAGACATATAAGTACACACCGCAGCCTTTTTTGTACGAGTTGCGGACCACTCAGTCAAACACCCTGAAGTACTTATTAGATACATAAGGGTTATATGAAAATTGAACAACTAAAACAGATGTTATTCAAGTTAAAGGGAACTTTCCACTATACCCGCCATGCTATCTGACCCGAACGAGCCACCTGGTGGTGAAACTGGTAACTACCTACTCGCATCTGCGTTATTGGATTATTATGATCAATATGTACCTCCGGGTGACAGAAATGTACTCATGCACAAAAATGTATTCATGTGTAACAAAAATATACTCACATGTGACAAAGATGCCATTCCCAATCTTCCTTGGAAAGATGAGGATGAAAATCACTTGTCCCGTTGTTGTGAATAACGCTCGAGAATCTGAGCAGGCGTCTAGACGCAAGATGCCAAGCTGAAGATATTTTATAAACAAGAATGAGGAATAATGTGACCTCATTTTTAGAACACGCCCAAATGCAAAATTTTATAAAAGAATAGGTAACAAATTCCCCGTGTTTACGAAAAACACAGACCGCCGACCACCGACCACAGACCAGTCACTCTCCACATTGGGTTCACGTGGTCGGTGGTCGGCTGACGGTCTTTTACCTAAAGATGATAAGATGCAAAATTAGAAGAAAGTAAAACTAAAACTGGGAATCCAATGACTATAGTACCAATACTAGGTGATTTAAAAATGCATAATTAATCATTTCAAATCACAGTGAAAAACGTTACATCGTCGTGGTGTGTAATATCATATTTTTAAGTGATGTCTCAGTTGTTAGAAGATGACTCCTTACTTATAGTGACTAACCACAATGAAATTGTGGTTAGTCACTTTGGATTATGAGAAAACGCACTTACATTAAGTTCATATGAAACGCAATAACAAAAACACACTAACATTGTCGATGTTCAGGTCGTAACGTAATGTTTGATTTCTCAGTTGTTAAACGTCAACTGGTAAAAACTACATTCAATATGACAAAACCTTTCTAATGGTGTACTGAAATGGTTAGTCATTTTTAATCCAGATAAGAGAACGCATGTAACATTATATCGTGTTCAGAATTCAGTAGGCTATGACGATAACAAATCATTTTTATTTCGAAATTGTTATATTTTGGTAAAAATTTGCATAGATTCCCGTAGAAACGATAGGTTGGTTAATAATAGGTTAGGAACCTAAGGCAGTACAATTAAATCGAGAGGAGATGGTCATGCCCTATTTGTTTGCTTGCCATTCGTTGAAAGGTAAAAATCGGTAAAAAACGTTGCCTATGCCTACGATTGACATTCAAAATCAAATTATTAATATTGATGGTCGGTCTTTTACACATTTTATTCAAACCCTGTTTTGAGGCTACCAATGGAAAACACCGACCGGTCGGTGGGGTCGGTCTTTTTCGTAAACCCCAAATTCCCCAAACTTCCTGCAAACCTGAATACGGAGGACTAAATGTGGAATAGAGTGTTATGCAACTTGTTATCCAGCATGTTGTATGGAAGGGTCAAATCGGTCAAATCAAAGGGTCAAATTGACTATATTTTCTCCAACATACATATCTAAAGCATGGTTCATGTCTTAAGGAAAAATAACAACTTACTTCTAGGCTGTGTTTCTCTTAAATCATATGCATCCTGTGATAGACAGTTCTCCTCCATTGAACACTGTAGATGGTAAAGTGACCTATCTTGTAAATGCATTGACTGTTCCAATAAGGTCGCGTTGGGAACGAGATCAGGGAGGGCTGAAATTGAGAAAATGTTGTTTAGCTTTTGTCGCCATTCCATTTATACACTAGCTGAAAGATCAAGCAAATTATTCATTGTTGTATTTAGTTGTGAACCACAAAATGGATCGATGCAAACTTTCAAAAAGGTTATGATCTGTCTAAAATGAAAACCAACGAAATACAATTAACATTTTGCTTTGACAAATTGTGTCTGACAAAATTTGATTTGTATGCACACGGACATTTCCAAAGCATTTTCATACAAACGAGAATCGTGATTCATCATTTGAATAGCTCTACAGATATACGAAAGGAATATTTCTATAAGAACATATGAATTGTTGATACGGGCTATCGTGATTTCATAGTGCGAATTGGGTGTGCACTGTGTTATGGTTGTCTAAATATCTAGCGTTTGATCATACCATTCACAGAAACTGGGACAGAGGACACACGTTTCGAAAGGTGAAGGTACATCGCAAAGTTTAGTCGCGCAATTCTGATAATCACGTTCTTCATAAGGTAAAATAAAACCGACAAAATTATTATCTCCACTAGCATCTAAAGTGTCGTGTTTAAATAAACCATAATTATGACACTTTACTGTTATTAAACATGTTGTAGTTGTTATTGTAACAAAGACTATTTATTGACCCCAGGACTAACTATTGGATTGGACGGTTGGGTCATGTTTTTCGGACTTCATGGACGTGCTTTATGATAAGAATGTGCTCAAGAGATTCGAGCCCCCTCTGATTTTCCATCAGCCATCCCGTTAGATGCAATTAGTGCGTACTACGACGTAATGGGTTTAAAATGCCGACGGACTGACTGGAACCGTTTTGGAAGCGTTGTACGCATACGGCTTACGGTTTATAAATGAACTTGCAAAAGTTTGTTTTAACACATTCACATTTTTCTTAATCTTTGTGCCAAAATAGGCTTAAAATATGTATGAACGGACTGAGCGTAGCTTTAACCTTTTTGGTCACAACAGTCGTTTTAAAAAATTCATGGACATTTCCGAACAGAAATGCTCTCTTTGAGCACATTCAAAGTTCTGACGGTATCCATCCCCGTTGCTGGCTTGTGCGCACCGAACTTGACCGAATTACGTCCTCCGTCAGTAGATATTATTGGCAAATGCGCAGAAAACGAAATAAACAATTCTGAAAAACTCGAACACACACTTTTTCGACGTTCAAGATTCACGAGTTTAATTGTACAGAAGACGAAACCATTCAAAGTAAATGTCAGAGAATCGCATACTGCTGCCAGTATCAATTGCATTTCTTATGTATCTTGTAATGCGGCTGAATAAACGTATAGAAAACATAAACTTATCGCTATACTCACTTGATGTGCAGATGGCACCCGCAATAAACTCTTTCTTTGGACAGACGACTGAACGCAGTGTCTCCAGATGAAAACACTCGGCAAGGTTAGACTCCGTCCCCATACACTTGATACCATTGATGACCTTATCTAAGTCTTCTCCTCCGAAGAAACTTTGCTGGAAAACATGTACCACATGTAAATTGGTATTTCACATGTCCAACACAAAAATGTGTGTCGTCCTATTCCATTTTCAGATTCCTTATTTGGAATAGGACAAGGGGGTGGTGCATGAAGTACATTTAATTTTATATTCATGTAAGGACCTTACCTGTATTGGCACTCTAGCGTATCCTAGACCTAACTGCTTGCATGCGACCATTGCTTCCAACATACCAAATTGATACCCACAGATGACGCCCCATTTTCCGTCTATCTTAACCTCGATACGCCCTTCCTTTGGATTGCGCCCACCTGCCAATCGTATTTCATATCCCTGAAATCGTTATTGGAAAAAGTTTAATAACAGGCAATATAATATATCCGTGCAGTATTATAACATTAAAGTGACCACAAAGGAGAGAGACGAGCCAAGAGCAAATTTTGAAACCTTTGAATCAAGTAATGCTCTGAAGTAACAACTGGAAATTTAAAAATGCCCTTCTTGATAACTACGATGGATAAAATCATTGAACAATCCAAGCTTTATATTTCGAGAAATCCAGAAGTGACTTTTCTAGATTAGTAAAGAAATACCACAATAATCAATAATAAATACTCATTTATTTCTTTAAATCATTAAATAAATTTACATTGTAATCACGGCGTAATCGCCCATAAAGGGCATTTCAACTGCCGCTTTAAGTGAATTTAAATACAATATAATGTTATTGAGTCATATTCATAGTTAGTATAAAAATATATAAAATTTAAATACAATCTGTTTTACTGCCTGCCTGTACCCCCGTTGGTGCCCTGAAATTGAATTACTGATTTGATTGTTTAATTGTGTTTAATAAAATTTATAACTGCCTTAAAGATTTTGGAATTGTTTTCATTTGTCAGATCCTTGTCGCCAAAAAGTAGGAAATTTGTCTTATTTTTTAATGTTTTGTATTTGGTAACATCTAAGTTTAGTTCACGTTTAACCACCGCTAGCGCATTTGTTTCTCTCAGAGGGCAGGACAAGAGTTTATGTTGTGCTGTCTCTCGAGTTCCACAGTCACAATATGGATCGTTAATGAAAGAGAAATTATGGTCAAAAAGATCGGATTTAAAATATCGATTTACTCTTATCTTATTTAGTATAATTTCGTCTTTTCTATCAAGATTCTGTATGTAGGAGGTTGAAATTGTAGGTTCCATGTTATTAGTGAGATGATCGCTTAGTTGTTTTTTGAAAAGTGAGAAGCTGTTTGTTTCCTTATGGTCTCTAGGAAGACGGTTCCACAAGGTTATCATTGAGCAAACTGTTCCCGTTTCCATTTTTTACTAATAGACTAGATGCGAATAGAAATAATCTCGATTTACGTCATTAAATATTGAAAATTCAGTCAAAGTGATGTCATATTTGAAATCTACATGTAAAAGTACATCTACAGTAGTAAAATGGTTTCGAAAATTGTTTATCAACTTTGAAAATTTAATTATTTTTGAAAGTGTGACTTCTAGTTCGGGTTGATTCTCCATAGAGCCCATGTTACAAAATCACAAAAAGTGAAACATCTTTTCTTGTATTGGTCAGATAACATTTTCTTTTACTGGACATATTTTAATTTGCATAACAATTAGATACATAAGGGTTATATAAAAATTGAACCACTAAAACAGATGTAATTTAAGTTAAAGGGAACTTTCTACTATACCCGCCATGTTATCTGACCCGAACGAGCCACCTGGTGGCGAAACTGGTAACTACTTACTCGCATCTGCGTTATTGAGGCTGGTAATTTGTAGTCGTTGGTTGTTCTAAGAACTCGCGTCTGAGGTGATTTATATCGTTCGAAAATCCGTTTAACGTAAGATGGTGCCGAATTGTTTTGAATCTTGAACATAACGCGCAATTTATGTTCATCCCGTCTATTTTGAAGATTATCCCAATTTAATATTTCAAGGGTTTTTTCTGTGCTTGCTCCTTGCATAACACCAGAACAAATAACAGCTGCCCTATAATGTAGCTTGTCTAACTGGACTAGGCTGGTAGCTGGAGCAGCGTCATAAATGATATCGCAATAGTCCAGATGTGACAGGATAAAGGAAGAGTAAATTTAAGGTGTTTGGAATTTAATCTATGCTTAAGTGCCATAAGTGGATTTAATAATGTTTGAACCTTACCTCCTAGATATTCAATATGGGTTTTGAAAGTTAACTTTTCATCAAGAATTAGCCCAAGGTGCTTATGATGTTTAATTTGATCTATTGGAGTGTCGTTGAAAACAAACTTAGGATATGTTCTCTCAATTGGTCTATTTGTTTTAAAGATCAACTCGTGACTTTTTTGTGGTGCGAAAGTTAGTCCCCATTTCTGGGACCACATTTGGATATGAATTAAGTCATCTTGAAGAACTTGGCTATCTGTTTGGTGATTTATTGGGTCAACCGGACAAAAAAGTGACGTGTCATCCGCATAGATAAAACATTTAGAGTTTAAATCGTCTGTTATGTCATTTAGATATAACAAAAAGAAAATCGGTCCCCATATTAAGCCTTGGGGGACTCCAGAGTTGATTTGACCGACTTTACTTGACCTAGATAATTCATCATTGATCTTAATTTTAATTGTTCTGTTTGTGAGGTAAGATTGAAAAAGGTCAATTAGTGATTTTGGGATACCGTAGGATTTGATTTTCTGAAGAAGGAGTACATGAGGGACTTTGTCGAAGGCTGATTGAATGTCCAAAAATATTGCTCGAACATCGAGACCATTTTCAAAATTTTGAAGAATGTAGTTTGTTATAGCAGTTAGTTGGAGTTGAGTGTTGTGTTCTTTAAGAAATCCAGATTGCATTTCATAAATTAGGTTATTTGATGTCAAGTGGGTCATCAGTTTACAATTTACTATTTTTTCAAAAAGTTTAGACATTGTACAAAGTAAAGTTACAGGCCGATAATTTTTTATTAGAGATTTGTCATCTTTTTTATGGATAGGACAAACAACTCCTTCTTTCCATTTTGAAGGAAAAGTCTTGGAAGTGAGAATCGAATTAAAAAGTTTTGATAATGGAATGGCGAGGGGGTCACTTGCTAATTTTAACATTTACAATAATCAATGAAGAAGGTTATGCCAAATTCCTAAATAAGAGATTTTATCCGGGTCACCCTGTAGTTAACTTATAATAGATATATGATAAACAGCAAATTCTACACAGCTACAACGCTTTAATCCATCTTGGACGACCTACTGTATGTACTTAGGGGATTATATCACATAATATGCACAACAATGCAATTTCTTTCCAATGACCATGGGGAACTTTTATTTTCAAACTACGCGGCAAGTATAAATATTCTAATAATAAAAATCATCTTTTTTTACCTCAGTTTCGATAGCAGAATTGGAGGCTGTGTCCTCATCGGATGATTCTACTTTGAAGACTGGCATTAAATCGATAAATGGGTCCGGAGAGGGCTTTGGTGTAGTTATGGGTTTTCGATTGCACACCACCCCTGCTGCTTCGTCTCTCCCGCAATCATGTTTACCCCAAGGGTCATGCGTACAATTTGCAAGAGTATCCTCACTTCCTTTACACACAACATTGTCCAGCCAAATCAAACCTACATTCAAAGTGACAATCTTCATTTATAATTAATGATACATGCATTCATACAAATACAACCCATTTATTTCAGGTAAAACCTAGCAACAGATGTAGATTAAGTGATTCACATTCAGAAATAGGCCGCATGCCTCAAATTATATATAAATTATTATATCCTCCTACCTAATGTACATCCAAAGGTAAGATGTTATCTAAATCAATGTCAAATAGTGATTTTACAGTAATACTAATACACCCCAAATACATCACATTGACCACACAGTCCGAAACCCAGGTTCATAGATTCAAAATTAATATACAGGATGGACAAAAAACGGAAACCCTGTATTTTCCTCATATCTTTGTCATTTTGAGAAATTATTCCCTGATATCTTACACGTTTATACAATAATCAATTTCCTACCCCCTAACATATTTCATGACCATCAGACCGGTAGTCCCAACTTTACAGATTTGGCCATCATTGCACTATAGGCAAACCTGCATAGTTGTCAATGACCTGAATGCATTCCTCAGCAGGTATGGCATGTATGATACAGATGATCTCACTTAAATTGAGGTCTGCAATTGTCCCAAGGTTATTTGCATACAATCTATCTCTGCCGTATCCTAACAGGTAGGGACATTTTGGAGGTTTTGTGCAGGTTTCCCGACAGCGCAATATTGGCTACTGAGGCATGTTCCTTAAAGTGGGGTAACAATATGACTATCAATCTGATGGTCATAAAATATAGTAGGCTGGTAGGAAATTGAATCATTTAGAGATGTGTAAAAAATCAGGGAGTTATTTATTAAAACAACAAAGATATGAGTAAAATGGTGTAAGGGTTCCAGTTTTAGAAATAATCTTGATATACTTCACTAAATATTCAAAATTTAGTTAAAGGGATATCATATTGGAAGTTTACATTACATGTATAATTGTCTCTAAAAATATCGTTTAAAAAAGTGTTTATCTACTTTGAAAATCTAGGTCGGGGAGATTCCCCATAAACCCCATGTTACAAAATCACAAAAAGTGAAATATCTTTTCTTGTGTTGGGCAGATACTATTTTTTTCTGGACAAACTTTCGTTTGTATAATCACCAAATACACAAGGATAAGTATGAAAACTGATCCACTTAAACTGATAATATTCTCGTTTAACGTAAGTTTCTTGTATACCTAGCCTGCCATGTTAATTAACCCGAACCAGCCACCCGGTGGTGAAACTGGTAACTACCTACTCGCATCTGGTAAATTTAAAAGAGAAGTGTTTATATTGTATGTCAAATCTCCGTTGTTGAAAACTGAATTAACCTCGTAAATATAGCCTTATTAAGACAAATGTATTTTGAGGCTATGTTTTTTTAGTTTATTCAAACTCATGCTTTGGGACACGTCTTGTCTCTGTAAAGACGTGAGATTTGTGCGTCATAATGCTCAAAAATACCAAGTCCAAGGTCATATCCTTAAATTTCTCAATGTCGAAGTCTTGATATATTACTGTTGCAGACTCATTTTCAAATCAAAATATATACATATGTTATTAACATCTTATTCACATCTAAGAGGACCAGAAAATGTTAAGTTGTTAACGTTAATTTGTTGACATGTGGTAATATATAACCATGTCCATAAAATATTTATGGACAGCTAGTTAGGTTATTGAACTTAAATGACAGTTGTAACTCAGATGAGCTCAAATGAAAACGAAATGTCAAAATATCAGAGCATATGCTGCGAGTGAAATCCAAAGCTGTGTCAAAACTATAAGCAGGCAACATTGAACCATTAAAATTCTAGACTACCAAGTATCACTGATTATCAACGTAATGATAATTTTGAAATTTACTTTTAAAAAGCAATATCTGTATCAAACAAGGAAATCCCAAAAATGCAACTAACGAATAAAAAACGTCAATTTTTTCTTGCCTATGAACCTGGGCCTGTCATTACCGTTATTATTCTTTTGACAAACAAATATACATACGGATAAACCGTTATTATTAAAAAATATTTGCATTTCTGGGTCACACTATTCATCACTTACGTCTTGCTCTTCCATATTGCCCAAATTCAGTTGTAGAAACGGCACTTGGGAAACCTAGTTGTTTGCACACGACATGGGCGTTTTCAATTGACCACCGGTCATCACACACACTGCCCCACTGGAGAGCATGCCATATGAGTACATTGCCTCGCCTATGGTCGGATCCCCCGACCAACCGTATATGCCCATCCTTTATAGCAATTACGGTTACACAGATTGTCATTAGTATAAGTCCACTGTACTTAAGAGGTAAATGCATTGTTAGTATCTGGCAGTTCACTTAATTCTGAAATGTTTGATTGAACGTCGACTGCGGCCCAACGCTTGTTTACCTGGACGTTGTCTTTATGACTCCAAACGTTTACGTACGTTTATCAACTGCTTTTAATGCTCATGTACATGGACGTTACTTTAACTGCTTTCAATTCTAGCGTACACTGCGTCAAAAGTGAATGGAAGTAAACGTTCACGTTATATTTGAAATCTAAAGCTTAGGCGTTGGACGTTGTCAAAGCTTACTTCATGCTTACGTTGTTTTCTGTAGCTGAATGTTGTATTGTAGCTGCGTCCAAAACTTAGGTTTAAGTCCGATTATTTGGTAGATAGATATCCTCCACCAGTGAATCCTATCAAACGTTGCTCTTGTTAAACATCAAGAACGAAACAAGACAGTGACAGTCAAAGGGTACGTCCAAGTGCCATCGGTGTACTCAGCGTCGACCGGATCAAAGCTGAAGTAGCGAAGAAAATGTTTACACTTTGAAACTTCAGACGAAAAAGATATGTTGAACAATTCGGTGTCATATAACATACGTACTCACGTTCTACGCGACAGTATGTTGTAAAAAAGTCTGTTGAAAAACGTGATTTATTTTATTGACTATATAATCATTTTTATAAGGTAAAGGTATTGGGCTATTTCATTTGGCATAAATCACTGGGTCTAATGGCATTTGAATGCTTTATATTTTAAGAGCGGTGTGAGGCAAATCGAAAAATTGTGCTTAGAACGTGTCGACCCACAGACTAAAACGATACAATAATCAGCTGGTTTGAATTATATATGGGGCGACTTTTAGACATGATTATACATTTGATTTATTAACCCCTCCTTAAGCAATATATTTTCAAAACATTATTGGTATAGTTAAAAAAAACTTAAAGTTATCTGTTTTAATCGCGCTCGTTTTTGGGCAGTACAGTATGTACCTGGACACATTTCTCGTCAATTACAAAATTGACGTCAATGTGTGATGAATATGTGAAATGTTTGATGGAAGTACACATAGTTATGAAAGTAACCAACAATTAACATTCATGAGAAGAACAAGTACACAAAGCCTTAGACTTCAATGATGAATCAAAAGATCAATCGGGATACATTAGAAAATATTCATGAACATACCTAAATCACCCCTTGCTCTAACCTGTAAACATAACACGGTACAGGCGTACACCTTTTTGTGATTTACTTGTGTTTCGCTCATTTTCTAGTAGCCCCAATAAAGGGTAGAAAATCATGACTACCATTGATTGATATGTTAAACAACAGATCTTGAATTTTAACATTGCTTATGGAATGTTATCTTATTATTACTTTTTCTAAATTTTAATATATTGGAAATTCGTTTTCTCGTCAAAATGCTTTTTCCTATTTCCCCACGGGGGAAGGAAAAATTGCTTTTGATTGTTTGAAATAAAATCTACAGTTTCACCTTTTCTTCCGCTAAAACAATGAAATCTATTTCTTGGGATACTAGAAAGGGGAGAGTTATTAAATAGAAATTTGGTTCTTAATATTAATATTGGAAAACACGATCATCAACCTTGATACTGATTCGTATAACTTAATAATGTTTTGGCGAATTACATAATTGGGGATCAAATGTAATATTGTCTTATATACACATCCCACGAATCACGATTGCAACGGTTGCCAGGGATGGAAAGTGGCACAATATTTAAGTAATTTCATCTTTCCAGTTTTCACATATCAAAACTATTTTTCAATTGGACATACATGTAACTATAAAAAGGAGTCAGAATCGAGAGAGGCTAATTCAGAAAATATTAAAAGTCTACTTTGGTATATAGCACCAAACAATTCAATACAATGCATGCCATTTTAATAATCGCATACTATAAAACGGTGATGATATTTGGAATAAAAAAGTTTATTGAAAATAACCCATAGATCCAATGATTTATTTTCTAAAATATGAGTTGAAATTGCTTAATGACACCAAAGCTCACGTGGAATATTTGAAATGAGACCCATTTGAAATGATATATCGCAACCCACGCCTAATAAAAAAATGATATATGACATTCATTATGAAGAATATCAAATCTACAACCGATTCAATAACACATCATTGGATATGGGATATGGTAACAAAAAATCAGGTACAATTTCGAACAAAGTGTTCTTTATTCTTTTATATCGTTTGATATGGTCTTGAAATATCAAAATAATCTTTTGCAAATGTTAACATAGAATAGCTCAGTAGCTTATAGTAGTAAATAAATAAATAAAAAAAAACTAATACAAAGTACTAATTAGATTAAATGACTTTAGTTATATTTAAACATTTGATATTTTTGTTACGATATACTGTCTAATAATGCAGATTAATGTGGCATCTTTTTTATTTTTATTTAGATCAATGTTTACAAACAGAGGTGTATACTGTATGTGCCAATGACACAACACATTGAAAAGATAAAGACAGATATGGCGAGATTTTCAAAATCAAATGGGCGGTGTGGAATGATATTTCTCACGATCTTAAAAGTATGATATTGAACAACAGTGTTCTACTTAATCTAGCTAAAAGGAAAATATGAGGGTCATTCAAAAATAATTTATACTCCTAATTTTTCTGACCCGATAAAGGAACAATTGTGACACAGTTTCAGGAATTTGTCAAAATGGAAGCCGTTTTGAAACGGGTAATGCAATCGAATAATGAAATAAAATGCTGTGCATGGATTAATGCCTACAAAATCAAGTACAACTGCAAGGATGGTAAATGAACAGCATTCGAACCACATGAAGATGGCGTTTGAAAATTTTGAAACTTAAGAACGCAGTCCCAAAACATTTCTGAAAACGTTCTTTGGATGACGTCATAGGGAATTTTGAAATATATTTATTTGAATATTTTAGGTTTTCAAGGAATATAAATTTTAATTTGATTATTTAAATATTTTATATATCTGAATTTTGGTTTGAAGATGTCAAATTGACGTCAAACGTATAAAATTGATGACATCAGGAAAGAGTCGTCGAGACTTTTCGGGAAACCCTCGTATTTATAAGCAATACACGAAAATTAGTGTCGTCCTTTGGCATATTTCTCATTTTGTAACGTAACAATATAAATGACAATCACTTATAAAATTCACCCTACATTTTTGCGAAGTAACATTCCCCAATTACAACATTCAACATTACCATTAGAACAGACCACGAGATTTCAAGTTAAACATAGATGTTCACTCACGTCATAACATTTCTGAATCTATAATTGTTCCAAATAAAGGATTGCAGATTACCTTTTCTTTTCTACCCACTTCCAGACCTCTGTAGACGCATATATGTAAGGCTTTCTGCTGGTTACTCTAGCGTTGAGTGACAAGCCGCCCGGCTTATAAAACGTATACCTTAGACTTAACACGTACAATGAATATAATCATACCGGTTTCTTGAACTCTTTTTGTGATACCAATGTTTACGTTACATATGCGGTTGACGATTATTCAAAGCATTGACATTCAATAATGGATCTGTCTGTAAAACGAATATTCCAAAGTAATTGAAATCGAAGTTTATGCATAGAATCGCATCACCACAATTTGAACTTTGAGACCTTCGTTTCAAAAGAGACATTTTTTACTTGATAAAATTTGGTTATAGCCGGTTAGCTGTGAGAAATGTTAGTATGTGGTAAGACACTAGACAGGTGCACTGCAGATCATACTAGTTAAAAGTGTTTAGAGTTGGGGGAGGACAGCATTAGATAAATCAAACTTTTTTTAGTGTTTTTTGCTAATGCTGATTTTTCGTGAATTTTTTTTCGAGGCCAGTATAAATAATACCTAGTCAAACTTCTAGCAGTACTTTTACTGTATAAATCATGCAGTGTATTGCTTTATGTGTAAGTAGTGCCTGTACTGTCAAAATGATTTATCTCACTGTCAAATTAATTTGATACTGCGAGTAATAATACAACATACCAATAACCGTGTTTCCTCCCATGTTACATCATTGGAAATATGCGAGAAGGTTAATCTATTAAAAGAGGATATATCTAATAAAGGCTCTTTTATTAAACTAATGGTAATTAGCCTATTAAATACCATGTAAAATAGTCTCGAGTAGCCTAATTTGAATGAGCGGAAGTCATTCATGATAGAAATTTCAAACTCGCAAACATTCACACGACAAATAGGAAATACCACATTTGTGTACGTCGTCTAGGTATGAAACACAGATATTAATATAGACCTAAATGACACTACACTAGAGGGTTGTTGCTCACTCTAAAGCTATTGAAAACCCCATATCTGTGGTCATGTAATTTTAAACAATGTCGAAAGGCATAATAGAGTTTCAGAACCCAACCCTTATCCAAGGGTTTTACAGGTGGCAGAACGCGAGTTGTTGTCCGCCATCGTTCTGTACCATCTGCGGCTGAGGCCCGGGTATACAATCATTAATAAAAATCAGTATTATTCGTATTCAATGTAAGTAGTATAGTAATATACCTGTATATATCACGCATTACCAACTCAGTACACTAGGGGACTAGTTTCACAAATAAATCATTCACTTTTGAGAATTCACCGTTGACCGTTGTGCCATCTTTTATTCCAGACTGTCAAGATTAGAATATTTAAGACGTCCATAAAAGGTTGTAATAGAAATTATGCTCCACTTGGTCGGTTTGTCGTCATTATATTGGTCCCAATAATCGAGCATGAACAAATTCGCAATCATGCACGAAGCAGAGTCTAATTATCAGCTACGAAGCTATCTTTTAAGAAGTGAAGTCGAACGAATGCAAAGGGCATTGGAACAAGGGGGAGTGGTGGGGGACATCTATAAGCGACATCTATACGTTTGAAAACGAGGCATGATTTATCCGTCAAGTTACCAGGATATTTGAATGTAATCAAAATCACAGATTTGATACATTTTTTATTGTTTGATTCAAATATTGATATAGAATATAGAATCCTCCCTTCCCCACAACCTGCTGGTCATGAAACTTATTTATAAACATTTTTATTCGGGTATTTTGTATTTATATTTAACTTATTTCTGATAAAAAAAGCATTGATAATTTCTCTTATCAGAGCAATACGCCATACGAAACTCAACAGATATACAGGATTGTAAGTGTAGGAAACTACAATCTGAAGAAGCATTTTGAAAATTTCGAGATGAAATTAGAAATAAAATTATTCATTGTTTTGGTGAGTGCTGTAACCGTGTGTTTTGGTCAACAGTATAAGGATTGGACTGTAAGTATATAAGAAGTAATGCTTAAAACTATTCTTTCGAATATGAGGGTTCGTCGGTTCAACCTTTCTCTCTGACGTTGCATTTGTTAACTTTAAACATATTCACGCACACCCACACAGAGGTAAAAGTATGCCAGTTTTAGAGCCATAGTTTTAATTCGGCCTCATTCTCCAGTATTAAGTTTGTTCAAAAACAATCTCTGACAATATTTTGATCACCCTTTGAACAGTTTTTCTTTAATTTATTTAAAATTTAAAGATTGTGACAATGCAATTGCTTACTCTTTGTAAGGGAAACCCATTTTAATTTTAATTTAAATTAATTGCAAACACCAAGCAATCCAAGATATCTTTTGCATCTAAATTCATGAATTCTTTTTCAATATAATTTTTCACTGTGATCGATTACTTTAAAATGAAAAATAATTTGAATAGTTACGCAACATTATACCTACCTTCAATCCTCCGATCTCTATGTGATTGATGATTTTCGGTTTCTTATATCCAACATTATTGCTGAACGTGGTATCAAAAACTGTGTTGGCGTTCACACCCCCAATTTCATCACATATCACAGATACAGACACAGTCTGGGTTGTTTTTGCTTTTAATTGATACTGACTAGCATGACTAACCGGTTGATTTATAGGTGATCTTTAGTTCAAAACAGGCAAACAAGATGTTTCAGGTAAAAAAGCACGGTGTACTAGTATTTTAACGAGATTACGTAAGGTAAGTATAATTAGGCTATCTGACTTCTGTTTATACACCTTTATATATTTTTAGTGGTCGGAAAGTTCACCTCTCGATGACTACGTCAACAGACCAGATGATACCTATGATTGGACGGTATTGAATACGTATCGTATTGACACAGACTTAGATGACCAAGAGGACTGTACCACATTTGTGGTCAACATGACGTCACAGACATGGTTGAATGGTATGAACGACTAACATTTTTAATATCATCATATTTCATTACCATTAATGTACATAGGTACTGGTACCAAGTATATATGCAACTTGGATTTATATCAAGCACAAGAATATCTCGAATCTCATGCATGTCTGACTATCGGTCGATTCTTTGGATTCTGATAGAAGCAAACTACAAATGTAAGTGATCCATTAGCGTTGACAAGAGCAGGTTAACTTTAGATAAGTACATGTACGGGTATGGATTTACCAGAAAGATCAAGCACAATCTTTTAATGCGGTACTTTATCCAGCTACAATCTGATCTGACATTTTCTAAAATGTTTTTCAGAAAGCTACAGTTCCCAACCGATATGGTGGCACCACTTGATCATCGCAATACCTGACAACGTCATCGATTATGAACATGGCCTCGTTTTCATCAATGGAGGGAGCAATAGAATTCCAGACACGTGAGCGAGAAGGCATTTGGAATTACCTGTTTCGATAAACGTTTCACTGTCATATTCCTCGCCTTTTTAATTTAGTGTTATCCCAAAAGAGACTTCCAACACTTCCATTCATTCTTTCCATGAAAAAAAGACTCAAACTTGTATTTGCGAATGCAACTTTTGGCTGTCGGCTATAGATACCGAATTAAGCTATTGTTCTATGCCTCATTTAGGATTCCATTCATATTCAAATGAGTTGCCCATAACATAGTAGATTAATCCTGTAGCCGACAGCCGAAAGTTGGATTTGCGAATGCAAATTTAGTCCTTGCCAATGTTAATTCTTGGAATGTCGCAGCAGTGCCACATTGATGTGGATTTTGCTAAATATAGCTTCTGCTTAAGTCAGTGTCATTTTATTATTCTGCTATTCAATAATTTTCACACAAACCTTATACGTTAGTAACTGAACTTATACGTTAGTAACTGAACTTATACGTTTAGTAACTTTACTTATACGTTAGTACGCTGCAATTTAGATTGTAAATTGACATTTATCTCTCAACCAATCTATTTAAAGTAAAATGTTTTGTGTAAAATATACTTAAAACCCAATTTGATAAAAGATGACATCTGAGGTTATGAAAGTCAAACCATTGTATATTTATTTACCTGTAGCCCCCCTGATCCAGACAATGATTTCGGTGTTAATGCGATATCACTGGCTGCCACTGAGATACAAGCTGTTGCCGCGCTCCTAAAGCAGAACCCTAACCAACCCGTCACCATGCCTATTGCCGTTAGTAAAATACCATCCTCTTATATATTAGATGTTTGTCTCAAGTTCATTTCAGGAGACTCGTTGAATCGTTGTTCACAGTCGTTTTGTAGTTCTAAACTAGTTTATTGTACATAACTATATACTGTATGACCATTCAGCAATGCAATGTTTAACAATGCCTTGCATGATTCCATTGTTTTTTCTATTTCCCCCATAAATGAACATCAGAAATCATGGAATTATGAGCTGTATTTATGGCTAGGTTTTATGGTGTCAGTGTTTCTTTATCTTTCATTTTCAATCATGTTTTTTATGTATTTTATGTCAAAACCAAAAGTGGTAACATATTGTTATGGTCCAACCTTTTTTGTGATTGCATTCGGCGGTTGGCGTCTGGAGATAGGCGTATGTAACAAATGGTAGATAGGGACATTCTGCATATCGATGCCTTGTTGTTTCTAGCCAGATCCAACACAGCGTCGAAGCGAGGATTCTATCATAGCTGTCACGTGGCGTTATTTCCTTGAGACAAATGGAACAGACCCGGATGTACTTCTGAGAAACCCGATGACGAAGGTGTGTCACGAATGATGATCATCAAATATCATTCTTAATTAAGACGATCTAATAATGGATCTTGAACTGTGGGGACAGGGGCATAACTTATAATTGGTTCTTGTATGTTGGATCGCTTACGTTTTTTGCAGATTAGCTGCATTTTTGAATTACACAGTATTTTAGAGGGTTCTTCTTGTGTCATCATGCTTAATGTTTTTTTTCAGGCAGTGATGAGAGCATTTGATACCATAACAACGTTAACAACACAACATAACACAAGGTTCAACATCCAAAAGTTTCTACCTGCAGGTGCTTCAAAGGTAATATGAAGTTAAAGGGTGTCCCAACACTCGATGTAAAAATATCATCTCATAGACCCATTTCAATCGGTTATTAAGAATACAATGTAGATTGAACGATCTTAGACATTTTGGTTATTTACATTTACTCTCCATATTCTATATTATGCATCCTGCCCATTGTATAAGCGATTGAAAAGTTGATGCCACCATTTGTGACAACGGAATTTGACGTCGCCGTTGCCAGGGTGTTCCGCTAAATGTATCTGGAGTTGTGCAATACAATTTCATTATATTTTATTAGAGAGGTTGGACAACGTGGATGGTGGCGTGTGTCGATAGGCGTGTTTTTGCGATGGCTCCCATAGTACTCAGTGTTTTGAAATTCCACGAGGTAACAAAGTGCATATAATGAAGTAACTTTAACAGAATGGAGTGTGAGTAACGCAATGGTAGAATGGATTAGTAATGAAGGTCATTATGGCAAAACTTAGCTACAATGTTATGTTATGCATGTCATGTATTTTTAGATTTTTTTATGTTATGCCTCCGACACATTTGATCTACGGCAATCGTTCGACGGCCATAGCCATGCATCGGGAAAAGCAGTACTATGTAGATTTTCTAAATCAATTTTGTGAAGCTATTGTACGGTCGCATAACGGCCACCGTAGAGCAAATTTGACCGAGGCTTGTTTAACGATCATGAATTCAAAATTGTTTCCATCTCATACAGACAGTGAGTAGCCACTACAGAGCGTATGGTGGATGGTCGTTTGCATTTGGTTCTTATTGGGTAGAAAACATCACGCAGTTCTTGAATGATCCTCGGACACAGATGATGGCCGACATAGTTGACCCATATAGTAAGGACATCTATCGACAAACAGTAATCCACGTCGTTGTATTCATCGCGCGGTAGCTGTATCTACACATTATAAGACCAAATTAGTTTTACTTTTTCATTAACATTATGTTACTTTTTGAATCTTAATTGTTGTATTTGTTATATTTATTGAATGGCAGGTTACCGTAGCCGTCTTACTATGCCTAAAATGGTGGTTCAAGCCGCCGGGGATGAGTTCTTTAGGCCTGACGAACCAAACTTTTGGTTTAATGATCTGATAGGACCAAAATATATGTGGTGAGAAATACTCTTTTGAAGTTGTACAATAAATTTATTTGGAATAACCACTACGTATCGACAGCATGGGATAATAGGATTTTCAATATTTCGCAGTTTCAAAATATAATGCGATCATGGCGGGATGTCAATTAAATATGCTTAAGCTATATGATATGATGTTTCTTTTATACAGTAATTATAAATTGTCAAGACCTTGCTATGTGTTTTGACTCCAGGGTAATTGAGAATACTCACCACGGGTTAACGTTTGCGGAGCCAGCACTCTTTTTCAATATTGCAGCGTTTTTCAAGGCAACTTCGAAGGTAAATAACAATTTCATGTCCTAATGGAGTATTAATGATATTGTATCAATGCATTGTTTTGCTATGCCCCACACCCGTTTTCTCTGAAACATAAACGTTCTTGCAAAATCAGAATGTAAAGGGACTATTCAGTCGAAATGTTGAGACATGCGCAGACCTCTATTTAGTGATATTTTCATTTCAAATATGGCGGCCAATCCGATGTCTGACGACCCTTACAAAGAATCTAGGCAGTTTGCATTTTTACCTCCTGTGATATAACAAGTGGAATTTAGTCGTTGTCTTGTGTTTTATTATCATTCTGCATCGTAATTCTATGTGATGCGGTGTTGAAATGTCAGCAGAAATACATATCCATACGATAATCGAGTGAATCAGATAACAGATTTTTCGAAAACCCGTCTCGTGCTAAGAGTGTAAAAACTTGTATTAACATGCTCAAAAGTGCCAATGAGCACATCAATGTCAAGCTAAATCAATGTTGTGTCTAAAACAGGTACCTGATCTACTCAAAACAGCTTGTCATTCACGTATACACGCTTGGCAAACACGGCGAAATGATCTGAATCTTGGAATTTCGTTCGAGAGCTAGTAATGTTTGCTCCGGTCTTCGTCATAAGTGTCATCAGACTTCACGCATGCTCAGGAGAAAAACTATCAACCAATAACGTTTTATAAATCAATTTTGCGCATGCGCCTTACAACGGTAAAGAAATTCGTATTTATAAACGAACCAATTTGAGATAACCCGATATCAGTCGGAGAAATCTGACGATCTACGAAACTCACTTCAAAAAATCAAATGCGGACTGACGGCGTATTCTACTATGTTTGGATCTAAGATTTTCAGTATAGATAAAGTCTTTTATGATCTTTCGAATGAGGTAAGTCTCTAGTTCGAAAGACAATCGTATCAACTTGAACAAAAGTTGAGTTTTGACGAAAAATTTTAACATGCGCAGAAGTCCCATTTTCGTTATACCATATTGACTGTATTTTACAAATGCAAACCTAGTTTATATCAATTACGTTTGTTAGTAGAATGACGTTGTTTTCTCATCCTCTGTCTTATTCTCCCCGACATGAAAAATGTACACTCTCCTTCATTATTTTCGCAATCGAGGGTCTCATTTTTGATCACTTGTCAGATCCCGTCTATGCATGGCAATCATAAAATTAGATTTGTCACGAATTTCCGAAATATTTAGTATTCAAATATTTACAGACTTTGATATGCTATTCAGTGAAAACCTCTGATTGTCAAATGTATGAAGGGGAGTGTATTTTGTGTTTATTATTAAAACAATTCATTTTACCGTACTATCCGAAGGATTTGGATACGTCCATAATCGCAGTACATAGCAATGAAATTAATTCATTTCGAAAAGGTTATGTTCATTATGTCTAAGGAGCTTATTAAATACATTGTGGATTTAATTTTTATAGAATGATGTACTGCCAGTATTTAACTGGACGCTCTCGCAAGATGCGGTAAGTTCTAGAAAAAATAAAGTTCCCACATGAGATGCATGTCTCCAGAAAAAACGTATATTCGTATTCCAGTAATACACACGATCAATGGTTTCATGCTATGGTTAATCGAATAAAGTACATTCCCTCACTACAACGTTGTAGTGTTTAACCCCCCTATCACACCAACGTAGTTCTTACCCGTTCTTGCTAGTCCTACGAAAACGTCGTAAAACGGGCTCAATCTGGCTGTGGTCGGGAAATATGTCTAAAATAATTAGCTACTTCGTTCACAAACAGTCTTCAATACGTCCAATTCATTCGCAGTTCGTTCAGGTCGCACCACGTCGGTGTGCAACGTCGTATAACGCGTCCCTTAGTCTAGAAGGTCATCATGACCTGATTAAGAAAGGTATGGTCGCCATCGAATTTTGAATCGATTCAAAATTCTAAAATCACCTTCCCGTCTGAGAACATTCATGAAGTTCGTAAATACACCTTACAAGGAAAGTTGCAGCTACGTTCATTCCGTTCGCACAGTTTAAAACCAGTTTTGAAGAACGCAGTGGGAACTTGTTTGGTGTGATAGCTATATTTTTGCCAACTCGTCCATAAACAGTCTTAAATACGTTCTTAATATGTTTAAACCAGTTTGCAATTAGTTCTACCTCGTTCTCAATACGTACTCAGACAGTTCAACTCGTTGTCAAAACGTCCCTAGTAGGATTGAAGTACGACGGTTCCGTTTGTAGTACGTCCAGCTCGTCGTTATTACGTTGTCACTCGTTCTAATTGAAGAACGTATCGACCACGAGAAAACTTTGAGCATGTTCTAAGTTCTAGAGGACCTACACGTTCGAGTACGTTCGATGAAGTTTATAAATAGTCCCCAAACGGTTCACAGTACGTCCAGTCCGTTCGTACACAGTTGAAGCCCGTTTTCGAGAACGTAGTGAGAACTAGTTTGGTGTGATAGTAGGGTAAGGAAACTTCCGTACATGTTCATGAATTAAACGGTTCAAATTCAAGAAGAAAAATGTATGGTGAATGGCACCACTATTCATCACTGGAGATTCGATGACATGCTAATAACGAGGTTAAGGTACGTGTTTCAAGAGAACGTCTACGTGAACGTGTGATCTAACCCATAAAACAATCAGAATTTTACACGTTCACGAACACGTTTTCTTAAAAACATGCACCTTGAACCTCACAATTATCTTATATGCCACTAATATTCTAGGCTAATAGAACGGGAACAATCGATGTTTACACCAACCAACAAGTTCCCGTTAGCGTTAGTGCGTGGTATGCTGAAACTGCTGATGGGGGCCCGGGGTGAGATAAACAGACTCGTTGATTACTTGCTATAATGTATATAAACAGCGTTGCTTCAATTGTTTACGTCTACTACCTTTAGATTGTAGTTCTGTATATCTGCAAAAGCCAGGTGTTGTATGTTCACCTTGATTTCGAATTCGCTACTTCGATTCATTCCTGCACCAGAAAGATATAACGACGAGAAAGTTACAACTGACTCCCCGATTGGTGCGATTGGTCGAAAAACGTATCACGTCGTTGAAAAATGGGCGATTCGAAAAATATTATTTTAGTAGGGTGTAATTGAGTAATATTATGACTTGTTATTTCGCATCAAGAAAAACAATGATGTTAGGAAAATGTTTATACTAATAACATCGCGCTGGTGTATAATATTCAGATGATCGATGCTGCTTATTTTACCCTATATGCTTGTAACTGGTCAAATACTACTTCAAAAAATATGAAAGTGAGTGGTTTTGTGAGATAATACTATCCAACGTCTCGATTTATTAGAGGAGAGGTTCGTCGTGACTTCCGGTGGGCACGAGCATCAGAGACCCCTGGCGAGATAGAAGAGAACCCAGTGTTGTGGAGTGAAGATGTAAACGCTGTTGAAGTTATTGTGGTATGTCTGGGTATTTTCAAATATAATTAAATCAAATTAATGAGTTGGCAATAGATCCATTTGTAGACCTACACGTCATTTGAAACGGTTTTGTTTTTAGCCAGATCGACACTTTCGAGCAACTTTCGCCGAGCCCTCTAGCGGATGGCTTGGTTTCTTCCTCGAGGTCGTTTTCACAAATAGCGACGGTGATGAAATGGAATTCACCACTGAGTTGAACGTCATCCCTGCACGATACCCATTCCCAGCATGCACTACACCTGAAAATTGTTGGGGTCGGATTGTCTAGATCTCATCAATCATGACGTGTATTTAGCTTAAAATCCATACATTTACCCTGAAAAGATACATTTACTGTCAACAAAACTCATGATAAATATTGATTATGAATGATTAAATGTCTGCCTACATTGACTATAGTAGTGTTTTATACTATTTTAATGAGCACCTAGGCATTTCATCACATTATCGTTATAATACCGTGACACATAAACAAAATATCGTTAACAGAATACGTCTATGAGATTCCTACTGAAATGTAGGCCAATGGATTTTTTCTAGCTGGAAATCCAGCGTTGACGTTTTCAAAGATTTAAGAGCACACATGAAAAGGAAAATTGTCCAAGAAGTCGACCTGTCGTGTATAATCACCCTTTATAGGTACTTATAGTTAATACGTAATATCGTGCGGTATCTACGGAATACTTATAAGTGCATTGGGTAATTTCAACTTTAAAATCACTAATATTGTCTTATTTTATTAGGTAATTTTACATGACACCGGTGAGAATTCATTTTTAAGTGAACGAGCTTATCTTGCACGCATAGTGTGAAATTACATGCTGCAACGTAGATCCCTTTGGGAAATATTGCTAACGACATTTTCAACTCTCAGTTCCTTCTCTGATTCCTTCATATGCTGCACATTAGTATCTCTTTCAATATAATATTCTAAATAAGAAGATGTTAGGTTAGTAAAGCCTCGATCACATATGTTACATGGCGGCCGGCCGTCTGGCGGCCGTAGCTTTACAAAATCGAGACAGAAAATCTAAATCATAGGCTACTTAAATACATAAATTATGCTGCTTATTTCTCTCGATTTTGGGAAGCTACCAACGCACGGTAATCAAATGTGACCAAGGCAGTTACCTTAATATCATTATTACGTAATAGTTAATTACAAACGGCAGAGATTATTGCAGATATTCCATTGCCAGTTGTGGGCCCCATTTCAACATATAAATATTTGGAAGTGATCCATCCTACCTTTAGGCATAGAGTAAAAGCATTCAGATTCCAAGCACATCAGTTAATCTGATAACCCTACTATCACACCAAACTAGTTCTCACTACGTTCTCGAAAACGGGCTTCAACTGTGTACGAACGGACTGGACCTACTAAGAACCGTTTGGGATCTATTTACACACTTCATCGAACGTACTCGAACGGGTAGGTCCTCTAGAACTTAGACAATGCTCAAAATGTTTTCGTGGTCGTCACGTTCTACAATTAGAACGAGTGACAACGTACTAACGACGAGCTGGACGTACTACGATCGGAACCGTCGTACTTCAATCCTACTAGGGACGTTTTAACAACGAGTTGAACTGTCCGAGGACGTGTTGAGAACGAGGTAGAACTAATTGCAAACGGGTTTAAACTGATTAAGAACGTATTTAACACTGCTGATGAACGAGTTAGCAAAAATATAGCTATCACACCAAACAAGTTGCCACTGCGTTCTTCAAAACTGGTCTTAAACTGTGTGCGAACGGAATGAACGTAGCTGCAACTTTCTAACGTCTATTTACGAACTTTATGAACGTTCTCAGACGGGAATGTGATTTTAGAATTTTGAATCGATTCAAAGTTCGATGGCGACCATACCGTTCTGTAATCAGGTCATGTTGACCTTCTAGACTAAGGGACGCGTTCTACTACGTTGCACACCGACGTGGTGCGACCTGAACGAACTGCGAACGAGATGGACGTATTGAAGACTGTTTAAGAACGAAAGAGCTAATTATTTCAGACATATTTCCCGACCACAGCCAGATTGAGCCCGTTTTAGGACGTTTTCGTAGGACTGGCAAGAACGGGTAAGAACTAGTTTGGTGTGATAGGGGGGTAAGAAATAAATCTTGCAAGTTTCCATCTAGAGCAGTTTTAAAAATAGTCATGAAATTTCTTATTACAAAAAAGATTTATTTACAAAAGCCCATAAGTAATCTATAGTCTCAGACAAAATAGTAAACTGTGCCATTAAAATAAATACTGATAATTCCTTGTAATTGTCATAAAATTTCTGTAGGTTTATAATTCATAATTTTATAACTTGCGTTGTCAATTTCATTGGCTGTCTTGATATACACAATTCACATACATTCAATCTGAACAATCGGTTTGTACATTTCATACTTCATCTTTGTGCTTGAAAACACACATATTCCGCCTATTTTCTTCTGTAGCTCTACGTTTGTCGAATACACATTTTCTTTCCAAATAACTTAATAATATCATCCGAACCCGACATTTACTATTTTAATGTCTTCGAATTATAAATAAGTTTGTCTACTGTTGCATTACGAAAATAGTAACTCGATTTTCTCAGTTTATCTATATGTATACATTTAACAACATACTGTAATGTAAAAGTCGTACAACCAACAATTGTTATCACATCGTTACCTGGTATTATCTTCACATATATCGTCTTCTTGGAAGAAGTATTTTCTTAAATGCATTGCGGAAATCTTTATTGAAAACAGTGTATGTAATAGGATTCAGGGCGGAGTTAAAGTAACCTGCCCAGAAGAAGACCTTAAATATACCAGGCGGAGGAATATGCATTAGAGTACATATTAGGTATGTCGTAAAGAACGGGAACCAGCAGAAAATGAATGACCCCATTATAATCCCTAGAACTAATATGGCACGGCGTTCCTTTGCCCTGGCTATTCGTTTTCGCTGGCGTTCAGCGTCATTTTGTGAGTTCTTACGTTGATGGGTGATAGATGATTTTCTTACAAAATGCCCAATGTTAGCTATCAAGCCTGCGTGCTTTTTATTGTGATGTCCGTCATGGTGCTTGTATAATTCACAACTAGCATCGTCAACCTCAATGTGAGGAATATCAAGAACAGCTCTTCTGACACTGCCCTCTTTATTATCTATATGAACTACTTTTATCGAGTTTTGCCTATTTCTGTTTGCTATAACAGTACTGTCTGTATCTTCTTCATGACCATCACCGAGTTTTGAGAGCAAGGGAGACGTTGGTAAAGATGTCGCTGAAGCAGCGGATACCGCCATGGCTTGATTCGTTTTATTTACATCGTCTTTCTCACATTTTTGAGGAATTCGAGTTCCATCTGCGTTATTTCGTAGCGTATGGTCGTCAACATGCGTGGTTTTTGTATCAACGTTCCCAAACGACATCGCATCCCCTTCGATGATTTTTTCAGGAGGTTTAAATACATTTTTGTTGTTGTTTCGAGAGACTTGCGGGGTTCCTGTACTACTCGAAGTAGACGTTGACTTATCTTTATGAAGTTCTGGGGGCGGTCCACGATTTGGTCCTCGTTTTTTCAATCCACGACGGGACCTCTTCCTCGCAGCGATATATATCCGAACATATACACCGACCATTACAATTAGAGGCAAGTAGAAAGAGCCGACGTTTGAATAAACAACGTATCCTATATCGTCGGTTAGCTCACACGTTGGGAAGCCCCAGTATTCGATTTTCCCCTGTGGTTTTTTCCAACCGATAATAGGTGGCACTGAGATTATAAATGACAACACCCAGACGAAGGCAATCATCATGGCGGCCCGCTTTGCAGTTCTTTGTTTCAAATATTGGATAGCTTTAGTAATGGACCAGTAGCGATCCAAACTAATGACACAAAGGTTTAAAATTGAAGCCGTACACAGGAGGACATCGATGGCGAGCCATAATTCACACCAATACTCCCCGAAGTACCAATATCCCATCATTTCATTCGCAAGAGAAAACGGCATAATCATACAACCCACCAACAAATCCGCCACGGCCAATGACGCAATGAAAGAGTTCTGTATTGTTTTTAGATTCCTATCTGTCATAATAGCGATGATGACTAAAGTATTTCCAAATACTATACCGACCATTAGAGCTGTCACAAACACGGATATAAGCACCACTTGTGGTAATCTTATATCGGCTGGATAAATCCATGGATAAGGCCACACTGGGACGAGCGTTTCATTTCCTCCTGTCATATTCCCCTGTAGAGATGATACATTCGTGCGTTTGGACGCTGGGAGATCCATAGTGTCTATAAGCGCACCATTCATATTCAGATAATCACGATCCATTTAACTGTGAATCGCATCACAAATCAGTCGTCCGCATTGACTTAATCCGTTTTTATATATAGTAGATAGCGAGATGAGTATACACTTTATTCTAAGTCCGTCCACCTTGAAATCTTCGCAGGTTTGACTGTCGATGTCAATCGAGCAAATGCCGATAATCTTCAGCTAGCCGCATTGTCGAGTATTCTTCCTTTATTCTGAAAACACAAGAGAGGGTAATTGCCTTATTGGATCTATATTCACCTTACTATAGATAAAAGGTTAACCAGAATATTGCAAGATTGTTAATTCAAAAGTGTTATAATGTTAAACCATCGTTGAATTATTTATGAATTTAGAGATTTAGTGAATGCATTCATAACATTATCTACTCCAATGTTTTCATTACCCCGTCTAGGCCTCCGAGATCACGATTTAAGCCTTTACCCCACGCCTATTACTTCTATTCAGTGTATTACTATTGGGGTAAGGTTTGATGCAATCCCCATCCAGTATTCACAATTTAATATCACGGTGTTAGAACGCATTATAGGTACAATGAGTGATGAGTCCAGGGTCGACGTTTCATCAATTTTTATGGAAATCAAAATGCAATTTAGGATAACAATGGTTTTGTTTTTATGTCATATAGTCTTGGCTTTGAATTATCACCATAGCGACCAATTGTATATTTTTATACGAATGCAGTCAAATGCTCGAAATAACTAATTTGCTGATCCTTTATTGTATATCATCAAATATAATGTAGGCCTGTTCTGATGTTCCAGGTTTAATTTCAGATCTACAAAAAAGTATAAATGATTATGAACTAGGCGTTTTTTCTACGTTTGACTGTAACTCCACTATAATTAAGTAAAATGGCATTTACTATGAGTATGCACTTTTTGGAAAATAAATTTTTTGTCATTTGGGAAAGGGCAAAGAGAATTACAAACAACAACAAGAAAAGCTCAATCCAAGAGCACAATCAACATAAGTAAAGCAAATCCCTAATATCCCAATGTATTTCAGACAAACAAACAAGCAAGCAAACAAACAAACAACAATTTATGTACCAATCCAAAAGCACATGACGTATTCGAGTTTCGAAAGTGTTGATATTTGTTGTAACATTGACAATGGCCACAGCAAGACATTGTTTCTGTATAACGTTGAAAATAACAATAATTAGTCTAATAGATAAAAGAAGAACTCAAGATCACTTTAAATATTCAACAGAGAGTCATAAACAGAAGAGGGATGTAAAGAAGTACTGGAGTGTCTTGAAGATGTCAGAGTAATTAACTTTATGTTTGAGCAGTAAACATATATGATCTCTTCATCCCTTTGTTTAAATATGAAGTTATTGTGTTCATTAACCCGACATTGTCAAAAGGATAATTATAAAGTACGAGTGTCTTTTAGAGGAGGTTCGGCCGCTCTTACCGTGCCTAGTCCAGGGTAGTCGTGCAGTTGACATCGTAAAACTGAAGAACCCATTCAATATTCTCCGTATTTCTTTCTAATCAAAAGCTAGACCCATTGTAAGGTATTTTTGAGTAAGATGTCTTTATCATTTAGCTTTAGAATTTGAAAAATGTCATCCAGTTAATAATTTTAATGTGTTTTTTGGAAATATCGCTTCAAAGTTGGATGATATCATATTGTTGGATGATCGAGACATTGTTACTTTTACTAACTAGTAAGTGCCCAATAAAGTGGTATTTTACTACATAATTAGATTTAACCACTCAGAAAATTGTCTTAAACGATTACTTCATGGCGAACTATAAAGTAAATTGCATTAACACCTGACTACCTTAAGCCCTTTCTTCCCCATCTTCGACTTTCCAAGGCTGTCATATGAATCCAACTCTATGATTTTTCAGCATTGAGTCGTTAAGTAATGACACGGGGACTAACATATGACAGTCTGTTCCAAAGGAGACTTTGTATCTGTAGATGATACATCTATTGTATGTTGGAGAACAAAGAGCTTCAGTGGTATGACTCTACTGACATTAGCCGTTTTACCTTACATCATTGCGTGATAATTACGCACGACATACGATTACGTAATTAAAGGGCGCTAAACGCTCGCATTTTATTTAATAAAGGGTTTCCCAATTTGCAATTACTTAAAAGGTCATATGCGAGAGAGTACTTAAAATCTATTTCCTGCTTTTTCTTTCAATTATAAATCCATCCTTTATTTGCACCAAGTGTCAAGTATATTTATAAACAACAACATAGTATACTTATAGCTATCATATCTATTGCAGCCTAATGGATGTATCAATATTTCTACGTTCCCGAAATACTTAGACATCGATAGCATTGTTGTATCGCATAGAATCATCATACTGTCCGTTCCTATTGTCTATGAGAACTAGACTCGGGAAATAAATACAGCATGTAGGGGGAGCGGGGAGGGGAAGCGACTAAAAGCAAGTTTTAAATCACATAATATGGCGAGGATTTATATGCTGATCTAATTAACGCATACTTCCTTATTAGTTTAAGCATATCAGTCACCAGGGTATATTTACATCATTCAATTAAATTCGTAATAAGTGCAAATTGAGATTTACATGCTCCTTTCTATGATTGTTGTAAGCGAAAAGTTACGCGATGAGCACGTACGCATGCGTCACTGCATTCTTGAGTGATGTTCAATCTCGATCAATTGTTAGCGAAAAGTTACGCGATGAGCACGTACGCATGCGTCACTGCATTGTTGAGTGATGTTCAATCTCAATCAATTGTTAGCGAAAAGTTATGCGATGAACACGTACGTATGCGTCACTGCATTGTTGAGTGATGTTCAATCGAAATTATTGGTAGCACTCCACGGGGCCTGCCCCCCTTGAGAGGGCCCAGAAAAATTGTGTAGGGCCTTAAAAATGGGCCTTTTTGGGCTTTTTAGGCCAAATTTTAAAAATGGGCCTTAAGTTTTGTTTTAGGGGTTCCAAAAAAATTTCTTGACTTCTAATGTGCCCCCCCCCCCCCTTAGTAGCTTCTAGATCCACCAGTGTACTCCCATGTAATTGCTAGCTAGCCGTCACGTCGAGGAGGAGACTAAAGTTTTCGAAACACTCTCCATGATCTTGAAAATTTCCAAGATGGCGGACATAGGTATTTTTACATTCTAATCTCTGTCGCTTGGTATGTAGAGTAAAATATAATGATTTCATAATTTTTTGATATCATGTTCTTCGATCTTAAAAGAGACACGTTTTATCCATTACGCACAAGCAAATGCAAGACCATTCAGATAATTGTTATCAAAACTTGGCAACAATTGAGGAGTTTCTATGCGAGCTTTGAAATCTAATTTTCTTTTTTTGTGAGATTTTAAATTTTTGCACATTAAACCCTCGATACATGTAGCTTACCTCTAATGACTTACTTCTTCTTTTAAACAGCACATTTGAAGTTGAAAAGTTTTCCACAATAATAGCTTTGATTTATTGATTTATGTCATCTAAATCATTTTCCATGACTTCCAACTTTTCTAAAGTGCGGGCCAAATCTCCATTGTTGCAATATTCAAAAGTCTGGTTTATCCGTTACTGCCTAGGCGTAAATAAAACATTTACTACGTTCTGTCAACACGAGAAAACAGAAAACAAAAGATTTACATAACAAATAAACATACAGAAAAACTAATACGAAAATGATCACATATCTGTCGTTGTAAAGTCTGCTTAAGAATATCCTGTTGAAAGTATGAAAACGTGTTAATGAAAGTTGATAATCTAGTACGTATAATCCAAAGATTAAGCGATCGTCCAATATCAAGGCACAACATAAACCAATTTGAAATACGACTGTTTAATCAATAAAAACTTGATATGATATGGTTCCAGGTGCTTCACAAAATCTCAGAATTTTATCTTGGAAACAGTTTACCTTAAAAACCAGTGACCCCTGAAAGGTACATTTGGAATATCTAAATGGAACATTGTGCATGGCCTTAGTTCGAACTTCATACGTGTAGTACTGCTATGAAGTACAAACGACTTAGAAATATAGAATAAATCATATGATAGCATATTAAACCAATATGACATTGATTATATCAATCATATGTGCATTATATTTGTATCGACCTCTTGGATGTTGGGGTTTTGTCCTTTTTGATGACATATACCTTTTGTTTCTTTTCTACTTTCTTTTAATATATCTGCGATTTTTTTTCTGTCTGGCATATTGTAATTACACGTGCATACTGCATACTACGTACAAGGCATATTAAAACGATTTAGAAACCAGATTAGATACGTTCCTAAATAAATCAAGAATGAGATAGGAGATAAACAGACATACTTAAATGTCAATCGAGCAAGCCACGTGCGTTCAAGCAAAATAGATAAACAACTGGAGACACCAAGAGTCAACCCGACAAATGACAATTAAGATGGTTAGGGACAGCAGGGTAAAATAAGACAGCAGGTCTTTTTTAGTCTAGACCTTTTCTGAAAAATGACTTTAGCTGCTATGTAGGAAGTTGCTTTCCATGAGAATTGATATATGCGATTCACGTTCCCCATAGTTTATTGTTCCAAATCAAATTGTGATGTGATCATTTATTTTGTAACATCCCAGGTGAGTCTCTACTCGTCACAATTCACAGCGCGTAAATCCTGTTTGTGACATGAAAGAGTATCTTTTCTTAATGACACATCTTTTATTATCAGTCGGATAGGTTCCAAGCCTGCTTGACATAATTGTGTTCGACGCTGGGTTCGTGTCCTGAATCCCGCTTTTACGTTACTTAACTTTAATATTGCATCTAAGTATCATCCTCTCTAGATTAATGAATGACAATTGCGACTTGACTGCATCAATTAGACTATTATTTATCCTATTTTGATTGTTCTTAGCAAAATGCCGCTTTGGCAGTTGGTAAATTGATCATCATAAGCTCATCAGATCTCGAGAAAATTGCAGAATTATGGAACCTCGATAAATACAGGAATAATCTAGCCGATTCGTAAATAAAGAAAAAATAGCCTAATAATCAAATGATTCCAGATCAATGAGATTAATCGAGGGATTTGATTGCCTTATAAAATGGTATGGGTTCAGTGAACCATAAACACACTAACTTGACCCATAAACTTGATTTAGATTCAGACATTACTTTGAGGTTTAGCCCATCCATTGACTCTTAACTAATTCCACGTTTGATCTTCTGATGGCGATCTTATTAAGT